GGGGGGAGGGGAGGCTGAGCTCCCGGAGAAGGAGACGATCGCTCGCACAGAATCCTGCGTCCTCAAGCCAGCCCCGGCGGACAGGGTACGTATTTGGGAAGCCTCCCCGCCCCGCTGTCCCCGCGGGGACTGGGATCGGGGCTGGGGTCCGGGCAGCTGCCCCGGGCGGGAGAATCGCGCGCAGGGCCCGTTCCCGATGCGGGATCGGTGGAAGGCGGTGAGGTTCGACCGCCTCCCCCGGCTGGGGACCGAGGAGGCGGGGGGGATGGGTGCGCCTGTGTTGCACACACACACACACATACACAAAGACACATACATATATATATATATGTATATGCATAATATCTATGCCCCAAAGCTAGAGAGAGTGAGGCGAGGCGGGCGGGGGGAGCGGGGGGGGAAGGGCTTTTCTGAGGATCGGGAGAGAGGCGGAGGGAGAGGCGCCGCGAGCCTCGCAGCATCCCGTGCCCCGGCCCCGCGGCGCTGCTGCCGCCGGCCGTGCGGAGCGGGCTGCGGAGCAAGGTAAGGGCTGGCAGCGCGCTCCGGGGACCTGCCTGTCACTCGGGGGCTGCTCTCCCCGGCCGTGCGAGCGCTCGGTGGCGAGGGCAGAGCGGCCGCTGCCCCGCCGTGCTCCACCGCCGCCCAGCCGCGAAGTTACTTTGTTCGCAGAGTTGCTGCGGAGGCCGGGCTGGGACCCCCGGGCGCCCCGGCCGGTTGTCCCTCGCATCGCCCACGCCGTGCTCAGCGTCACCAGCGAACACCGCGAAGGAAAAGCCGTGCGCGCCTTCCCCGATAGTTTCCTCTCGCACAGCCGGGGGAAGGGGTGATGGAAGAGGAAGAACTTCCCTTTGTCGTAGGAGAGGATTGAGTGACCTCCGAAGTTTTGTTCCGGGAGGAAACCGCTTGAATAAGTTTGGTAGGATTCATGCCGATTTGCATGTGATTTATTGCGCTGTTATTTGGTATCCAGCACGCTTAAAGCAATACAGCAGACCAAAATTTAAAAAAAAAAAAAAAAAGGTAAAAAGGTTGAGGACGTTTAGATAGAGATTTCAGTTCCTTTCATTGCTTTCTTAGGATTAATGTTTTCTATCTCGCACTTTCAGATGGGTAGTGTAGAATACATTTATAAATGGGTGTGCTTGTCCGTGGATAACACTGAGGGTACAGATGGGAAACGTGAAGAAACTGGGCAGATTTTAAACGCTCCATTCTCTTTGGCGGAAGATCAATAGTTGAAGATTCCTGCTTGCACAGTCTGTACCTTAACAATATTATCATTGAGACATCTGCTGATAATGTATGGTATTGATAGCCATTGCAACTTCAGTTTAATGAATTTTGCAGTTAATTTAGACTAGTGTAAAGGAGCTCCGGGTATTCTGGATAAATTGATAACTAGGCATGATTATTAAACTTTGCGATTAGCTTGTGATGAAGTGAACTCTCAGTTTTTCTAAAGTAGATATTTAAAATGCAAGGCTATATTTTAAAAGTGTATATTCTGAAATCTGACTACCAAAAAATCATGCATCTTCTGAAAAGACCAGTTATGGAGTCATTGAAAAATGGCAATCTGTGTTGCACCTATATGTAACGAACAGTTTCATGATGCCAGACGCTGTAAATTCTCTGGTATTGTACTACAAAAATGGGAGGGAGACTGATTTCTATTTGCATATGGATTTTTTTGAAATTATTAAATGTAGTAGTTTTCCCTTGTATGATACGTATGTGAACTGATTAATATTAGTTACTGCCCATAAAATTTCAATGGTATGTTTAAACAGTTTTAGCTTGGCTCTCGGGGTTTGTTTCATTGTCTCAAGCTATCCGAGACATAACAAATCTTTAAAATTTCTTGCTTGTACATTATCCCATCTATCTCTTTTTTTCTATTCCTGATCTCCTGTGGTATAATTCAAAGCAGGGTAACTGCAGAGAATACCTGTATATGTTCGTGTGGAGTAAAATGCCCATTTTGAAGATACTCAAATATTCTTGGTGGACAGGAGCCATCCCTTCATGCCCTATATGAAAACCTTCTGGGCTGCTGTTAACAAGAGACTTGCTTTGGTGTTAGTTTGTGATGCCAAACAACAAACATTAGAGAATGCAAAGATAAAGCTAGTGCTCTGATCTTTGTTTAAACAGGTCATGGTTTTTATTTAATGCTGTATGCTCATTATGGGAACTGTCAGCAGGAATGTAAAGCAGACTGGAGTTCTGATCTGGCATACATTCATAGATGACTCTGATGTTTCTTCTTCTTCACTTAGTGGTTCATAGAATGTAGTGTAGTTTGTGATCATATTTATTTAATTGAATGCACTATATGAAATCAGAAAAAACCTCTGGATTAATGTCCTGCTAGGAACCAAACATGTTCAGATCTCCTGCCTTAGGTGCAGTCCTCTTGACCTGAAGAGTTACACAGAAGTGGACTTTTCTATTTAGTAGGACAAGTAAAAGTGTATAAAGAGATCATTGGTTTTTAAGTCAGCTTGAGTTCTGCCACTGAATTACAAGGACGGATGCTCAAATCCCCTGAAACCAGGTAACTGCTTAGTCAATTACCCAGTCATTTTCTTTTTTTTTTCAGACATATGGAAACAATATCAAATAGTAATTAGAAAGTGCATTCATAATTGAGAATTTTAATGCTTTTCATCCATGAGAACAGTTTTCATCTCGGTTAATAAACATAATAAAAATAATTCAGTGCAGTCCATTTGATCCTTGCTGAATCTTGTTTTGAACAATTCATATGGGATGTGCAAGGTAAGCTGAAGGAAGAGCCTTTTCACATGTTCAGTTACCTGAAGCAGTATTAGAATATTGCAACATACAGCATGAGCTTTCAAAATAAGACTCAGTGTAGCACTGGGAACTTAAATTTGGGTGTTCTGGATCATACATTGGTTTGGATTCTGTGGTCATTTTCCATAGGTCAGTTTCATCTGTCTGAGAGCAAAGTTTCTAATTATTATTTCTAACTTAAAACCTTCATTTTAAATCCTCACTATTCTAGGTTATATGTTTCAAAATATAAGCAAAGTTGGTAATGTAAGAGAGTTCTTTAAGGTCGTTGGATTGTTATCCTTTAACTCCCTCTTACAAAATCATGTTTTCAGTCAGTGTAATTACAAATAAAATAGCATGAGAATGTGATGCTCAGGCAGGGTTGAAGAGTGACAGTCCGTGATAAGATCCATTGCAAAAAGTGGTAGAGCTGTTGCAGTACTGGCTGTTCCTTTGCTTCTGCAGTAACCACCTCTGGAGGTAAAGCAGTTAATTCCTGGGCCCTGCTCACTGCTTGACCTCATTGAAACTGTCAACAAGTATGGCAGTTTTGCCGTGCTTTGACAAGGCAGTGGGAATTATATTAGGATCAACAATTAGCTATCATGGTATATATGAGGCAGCTTGCAGTCATAACTGATTTGGGATTCATTGTAGTAACCTAAACACAAAATGCTTAGCATCTTCCATTCAGTCACAATTTAAAATGCTATGATTACAGGAGTAAAGGTTGCGTTCATAGTATCATTTAAATATGCTGTGTTCTGTGTCAGACTAATACCAGTGTAGTAAGGGCTTGTCTTTACTGATTGAGAGGTGCAATGCAGAAATACATTTCAACTGCAAGCATTAGCCCTCACTTTTTACATATATCTAATTTGTACATTTCTGCTAAAACCAGGAGTGTATCACTTTCCTTTGCAAGCTTATTATTATTATTTTATTACTATAAAAATGTGGTGTGTCCTCTTCACCTTTTAAATGGAATTCCCCTGCCATGCAGTCAGCCCAGCTTCACTTACAGCATCTAGGGTCTTGTCACTGAACCGAAGACTGAAGCCAGTAGAGCAGCTGCACAAATGGCATATGAAGGAGGCTGACGGCTACTGATATTTTTGATTGTTTTTTCCATGTTTTCCTAATTGGCTGTTTTGCACAAGCCTCCTTTTTTGCCTGCTCTTGGAATTACATCGCTGCGCTTGATGTGCTGTGGAACTCCAGCACCCTGCACGCCACTTGATTCCTTATCACCTTTTCCCTCCTATCACCGACTCTTATCAAATCCCATCTTCTTCCCACTCCTGTCTTTTGTGGTGCTAGTCTTGCATTATTTTTTCCTAAAAGAAAATGGAAGGAGCACAGCGTGCTGCCATTGCACCCATAATTCCTGTGCTATGTTTTCTCCCATATCCTTTGTTGAGTTTCTGGAGGCTGTAATCTGGGGCAGAGACTGTTTTACTGTAGGGCTGTACAATGTCCAGCATCATATGCTGCTGGATTTCAGCTGGTCTGTGGACACTCATAATGTATTCATAAAAGGATTATTTTGGCTTTGTGGCACAGCCTTTCTTCTGGTTCTTTGGTAAAAAAGCAAAACATTTCTGCTTGGAGGTTTTCTATACTGTATTGCTGTTCTGAGTTTTGTCCCTCAACACTGTGTCCCTAATTTGAGGGGATTTTGGTAAAAGTTCAAGACACCTTGTCTAATGTAGTGGGGATGGGGTAGATTAGAGCTTAGCTACTGACAGAGGTTAACTGGTTTGTACCTTCAACAAGAATGACAATAAATGTCAATTTCAGTGCATATTAGTGGAAACCTCAGGTTTGTCAACATCAAAAAAAAAAAGTTCAGATTTCACCATGTTGATAAAACAGAAGGGAAAAGAAAAAAAAATGTACAGTGTGTTCATTTCAGAACTTGGTTATTTTCCTCCCAAATATTTTTACATTTTGATCTCCATTTACTTTCCATCCCTTAACTTTGTAGTTTTATTTTAGCTTTTTTTTTTGGCGTCCCATGAAAATCTTTTCACCAGTGCAACTAAAATTTTTCAGGTGAGTATTTCAAGCAGCCAGTGAATCAGCTGATGGACAGTGCACAGTTCAGGGGCAGACTTTCTTTATCTCATGTGGACCACATAGGGGGGCTCTTTGTGGACATGACTTCAGGGCAGGAGGAGTGGTTGTTGACTGTTTTTTCCTTACATCAGTCCTGGAGGCAATACCTGGAAAAATAAAGGTAACAAACTCAGTAACTCCCTCCCTGGACATGAATCAGATGGCATGAAGGGTTTCGATGGGATAGATGCAGCTAAATGAGGGAGAAGTGGAAACAACAGAAGTAATATGACAGCATAGTAAATTTTGAAAGTTTTGTGTGTAAGAGAAAAAAAAATGTAGCTGTGAAGAATTTGCTTGTTTAATTTTATAATTTGTCTCCAGGCATTAGTAGAAAAAGAGACACTGATGTCAGAAGTAGTATAACTATAAATATATTTACATGTGAGCTGTGTTCTACATCTCACCTTTGACATACGTGCTGGTACTTTGGCATTTCATTCATCTTGAACTACAGGGATGGATAGGCTACTTCTCTCTTGTGCTCTTGTCCTTTCAAGAGTTGTTAGCATCGGATTTGTTTCTGAAATCAGATGAGAATATTGGCAGTAGAAATGAATCCGCAGCCAAGCGGTGCTGCTGCACGAAAAGAGAAGACCCTGTCAATTTATTACACAAATTCCACTGAAATAAATTTGGATAAAGTGAGTGTCTCAAGGAAGTGGCTTTCACCCAGCAGGGCTTGTGCTAGGCTAGGAAATGAGGATGTGGCCAGTTGTCACAAAAGAGTAAAGAAAAAGAACATTCTTCAATTTAAACCAAATTGTGTCTTAAATATGTTTCAGCACTTACATAGTCATCTTCTCATTAAATAATATTTTGAAAGATTCAGTAGTTTAACCAGATGACATGCCCAAATTGCAAACTGAAATGTAGAATCAAACCCCCACAACCCTAATTTATTTCGGTGGAATGTCCATTTTTTGTAATTTCCCGACATAACTTGTATTTTTGGCTATTTTCCTTCAGAATGAGTATTCTCAATTGGGGA